GAGCCTCTAGCGTTCGTTCGTACAGGAGTGCAGGGGGGAAAGGAAAACAACCAGCCGATCCAAGGCTGCAGGACTCCCGAAAGCTGGGAACGGTGCAAGGGGCAGAAAACTAACAACAAAGAACTTCATAAACATTTTTCTCATGTTTTTTTCTCCCTGCCCTCCAGCTCTGTTCCGTGTGCTGACGCAGGGGAGGGGACATGATGTGTGGGGTACCCACAGACCAGACCTGGGCTGAATTTTGGCTGTGCCACCCTGCCAGGTGCCATCCCGAACCGGGGCAGCTTTGCCCTCCCGCAGCAGCAGCACCACCTACATAAAATGAGCGCAACGAGAGACTTGGGTGAGGGATTGTTGTGTTGGTTAATGGCTCGTTTGGTCTAATTAAAAATCATCAAGGAAGTAAAGGAAAGGTTTCCCAGGAGCCCGAGCTGGCAGGAGGGCAATGCTATGCTCTGAGCAGGGGTGCAGGAGGTGGGGAGAGAGCTGCTACCCCAGGGAGCTGCCCAGGACGGTGCTTAACCACTTCTCCTCTTCGTTTTGGGGCGTGAGTTTGCCCTCAGCCTCTCCCCTGTGTGCTGGCACATATCCTGCTGCATCCCTGGTGTTTCCCAGGCAGGGAGAGTGCCCAGCAAGGCCACCCTTCCCTGCTGCTCCTCCCGGAGCTGCAGACTACAGCCAGGGCAAGGGCAGGTTTTCAGGAATCTGTTCAGACACTGGAATCTGTTCAGACACATACACGGGCACACTGAGGCCAGCCTGGGAGGGAGGAAGAAAGTGAAGAGGCTGTTTTCAAATTTTACTTTTATATGTGTGGTGTAAAAAGAAAGGGGAAAACAGGCCTTGGACGTTCCCCCAGTTCTTTCATTGAGCCTCAGTGATGCCTCAGTGAGGTGAAATCAGGTGCCACCTCCCACCTTCTGCTGAGGGGACTCTTTTGCCCATTATCACCCCATGGCACTGAATACAAAAGCATCACTTTTGGCCCCAAATGGTGCCAATCACCCACCCAGGGGACCAAGCTGGCTTCGAAGGACACATCTCAAGGTCTCTCTGTCTTTCCCCCGAGCATGGCAGAAGTGTGGGTGCCTAATTTAGGTTTCTTGGATGCCTGGAGCAAGTGGAAAGAATCTTCACGTGGGAATTCTCCCCCAGCTGTGGGCACACTGCCCAGCCCAGCTCATGTCCACGGTGGGGTCAAGCATCCACCTTCCCCTCACCCTTCAGAGCCTGGCCCTGCCTAGAGGAGCCCACAGATACCAGCAGCTGGCTCCATCCTCCCCCCATCCCCAAATCTGCTGATTCCCTGGGTTAAATTCCATTTTTCATTCAAAGCAAGGAGAAAAAAAATAAAAACAAACAAAAATTGAGACTTATCATTGTAACAGCAAATAAAAAATAAAAGAGACTTTCTTGTACTTTCAGGGAAATTGAAATTATGGGTTTGTATTTGCATTTACAGGACCCCTCAGGCTACTTATGTTTGCATTTTCATAACAAAAAGGTTGTGCTGTTAATTGATGCAAGCCAGGACACACAAACCTGAATCTTGGACAATTTCTTAAGGGAGCAGCAGCCACCACAATTGCCAACTTCACATTTGACAATGGATAAGTCAGAAGTGCCAAAAAAGCAGCTTCCGTGCCTTTGTCAATGATATGCAAGAGATTCATTGGTAATAATTGTTTATTCATAAATGGAATTATGAAATATGCCATGCAACAGTATCCTTCAAGACCTCAGCTTTTCCTTTCAGTCAGACTTGAAATTCTCACTATGGACTGAGGTTTTCCTTTATATAAATTATTTGAATGAACTGAATTTGTATTATTAGTGAATTTTTCTCTGCATTTTTGAAGAAGGACTGATTTTCACCACCTTCCCACCCCAGCTGGGCCAAACCTCTGGTAAACAAGGAATACACTGATATGATTTCTGGGAAGATCAAAAATTGTTGTACCATTTGTTCTTTCCCAGACTTATTTCATAACCCAACAATTTGAAAAGAGGAACTAGTTTTATTCATGCAGTCTTGTCATTTTAAGAGAATCATCTCTTTAAGGCTATTCCTGAAATGGTCAAAGGGGCATGAACTTGTTGCTGCCCTTTTACCTTTGTTATCAGTGGTACAGGACTATGTGGAAATCTGTTCATGACATGTCAAGAACTTAAAAACTGAGATGAGGTTTGTACCTTACTCACTCATCATGGCCAGTCAACGTAATCCGGCTAAAGGGTATCTGCCAAAAAAACCACCCAAGCCAAACCAAAAAACAAGAGTAAAAGGTTCTTGTATTTCCTTTTTTTCTTTCTTCTCCATAGAAGAGGGTGCTCAAGTGGGACAGTGAGGTCTGGTTTGGGGCAAGAGGAGCCCAGACCTCTTGCTTGAGAGGATGTGAGAGCTTGTGTTTCCACCAACTGCACAGGGTTGGTGTGAGGACAGAGAAGGGAAAGAAGAAGGCTCCAGATTCTGCTCTGAGGCTCATGGAAGTAGTTCATCCCACACATATTTAATGTGAAAGAGCTATTTTTTGGAGCAGGGAGTGAACCTGTAGCCTGCCCTTATGCTGCTGCTTACCCCATCCTGCTGGCCTTGCCCCAGCACACCTTTAAGGTGTCCCCACAACATGTTCCATCAGCCCAGCATCCAGCACTAGCTCTGGGGTGCAGAGGCAGCTGGCAGCAGCACTGCCCTTGGCCAGCACTGTCCCTGTGCCCCTGGGGCTGCTCCTTGGCCGGGCAGGACGTGGATCTGGCGCTCCTGGCTGCTCCACTTACAAGTGTAGAGTGTCCCAGAATCCTGGGAGGGCCTGAGTTGGAAGGAACCGTAAAGATCATCTCATTCCCCATGGGCAGGGACAACTTCCACCATCCCAGCTTGCTCCAAGCTTCATCCAGCATGGTCTTGAGCATTTCCAGGGATGGAGGAGCCACGACTTCTCAGGGCAGCCTGTGCCAGGGCCTCCCCACCCTCACAAGGAAGAATTTCTTCCTCATACCTAAATGTAACCCTGCCCTCTGTCATTTCAAAGCCATTCTATCACTCCATGTCCTTGTCCAAAGTCCCTTTCTACTTCTCCTGGATCCCCTTTAGGTACTGGAAGGTGTTCTAACGTCTCCCTGGAGCCTTCTCTTCTCCAGGTTGCAACTCTCCTGCTCTTCCTGATGTGCTGCACACACAGATGCTGCTGCAGAGCAGTTGATGCCTGAAGGGTGCCCGGTGGGATGCTCACTTTGATGCACTGCCCAGTGCCACGCCACCCCTTCCCCCTCAGACCAACAGCCAGCTCTTCCTTTCGCTCTTCCTTTCACACACTTTGCTTTTGTGTCACAGGGAGGATTTTGGCAGCAGCTCTTCTGGAGAGGGGACACACAGTGTGGGAGGACCAGGCCCTGCCTATTGTATTTCTTGGAGCTGCTAATGACCATGGCTACAGCAAGCCTAAAATAAGAAAGGGAGCTGATTGTTATCCCTTATCTGAGATTGTTCCCCTCCGAAGGGGGAAATCGGAGCACAGTTACGTGCTGCACATCAGGTGGCCTGAGCTGGAGTCACGAGGCCAAAATACCAGTTAACTTCTGAAAAGTCCAAAGCTCAACCACCACTACCCTGTCCAAGGGGTATTTTTAGCATCACCAGCTGCTGCTGCTGGAGAAAACACCCTCAGAGGGGCTGCGAGTGGGGGCATTGCCCAACCATGGCAGGAGGAGGTTGAGGGCAGGACACCTGCTGTGTCCCCTGCCCGTGTCCCCATGCTGGACACCATCCCCGGCGCCAGGTTGTCCATCCTGCCCAGTCAACATTGCCCTGTTAAATTTTTACAAAGGCTGCAGTTAGACCTGTCATTGCAGAGAAAGGCAAATAAAAGTGAAATCCAAAGGGGGCCCAGTTCTGCCCTCCCCAGTGCAGCTGGGAAGGATCAAGCCTCATAAACCTTCAGGTCATTAAAAAGAATTAGCTGATAAATGTCATCCTGAGCAGCATTTGGTGCTGTCCAGGAAGTTGGGGATCCAGGCTGATGCAGGCCAGGAGGGTCAGCCCTCAGGCACGTGCCTCAGTGACCCAAGGGGTGGGAAATTCTGTGGTCAGGGACCCGTTCCTGGCATCACAAATCACTCAGGGTCAGCAACATTCAATTTGCCAACAACTTAAAGTC